TGCCAGAACAAATAAATCTGTGTTGGAAGAAGTGTATCCAGAATGTTCCTTAGAAGCAAAGAAGTGAGACTTTGTCTCTTATACTTTGGACATATTATTAGGAGGTATCAGTCCCTAGAGAAGGACATTATACGTGGTAAAGTGGAGGGTCAGCAAAAATAGAGGAAGCCCCACCCCCACCCCAAATGAGCTAGATGGGCACATTGGCAGCAGCAGTGGACTCAAATGTAACAGCAGTTATAAATTCTATTGTGCTTAGATTCGTGAATGAGAACTGATTTGAAGACACCTAACAACCACAACAACAATGATGTAGGATATGAGGAATCTTGGTGTGAAGCTATAGGATTAGCACTAGATTGCTAATTGCAGGGTTGGTGGTTCAAATCCACCAGCTGCTCCTTGGAAACACTTTACCAGGGTCAGTATAAGTTGCAAATGACCCAAGGGCAATTAAGAACAAAAATGTAGGGTAAGCTCTGGACTGCTAACCTCAAGGTGGGCAGTTCAAACCCACCATCTGTTCCTTGGAAACCCTATATTAGTCGGAACTGACTTGACAGCACTTAACAGCAACCATTTTTTTTTTATAGAAAAAGTAAGCAAAAATATCTTTAAATACTGCGATAGCCAGTGATAAAATTGACCCTTTAAAAATACACTTGTTTGACAATACAATTCAAAGGCTTTTTATCCTGTTTGGGCCTTCTTCAGGTATTTTTAACTATGTATTTGTGGAATAAATCTTCAGAGAGTGAATGTGATGATGTAAATTATAATTTAGCCTAATGAAACTCGGTATTAACTTGAGCATAGTTACACAGTTGTAGAACTTAATTTAAATTTGGCTTAATTACTTTTAAAGGAGCCCTGGTGGCACATTGGGTTAAGCATTGCACATACTCCCTTAAATATTTAGTCTCTGAAACCCTTAGGCACAGTTCTACTTAGTCCTGTCATGTCACTATGAGTCAGCATCATCTCAATGGCACTGGGTTAATTAATATCAGTTTTAATTATTACATAGGAATTATGAACTGAAATTGGAACATTCCACTTGTAGGTAATGGCACAAAGGATTATAGTTTTATCAGTTAAATCCAAAAGCGTTTGGAATAGTTGCAGATACTGTAATGGAGTCCTGGTGTGATATTGGACTTCAAACAATGATGTTCAGAAATTTCATTGTATTTCTTCCCTGAATTCTAAAAGATAAAATGCCTTTGGTGATGTAGACAATGTGAACTTATTTTTCTGTTTTCTCTTAAACAGCGTATTAAAAAAGTTATCCTGGGTTTGTCTCTCTATGATGATACTCACTCATGCCTTAAAAACATTCCATAGAAATTGGGACTGGGAGTCTGAATATACGTTGTTTATGTCAGCTTTGAAGGTAATGTATTTTTAAGAATGATAGAAAGTATGTTATCAGTAATTTCTTACAGCTATGGCTAAGCTTTTTTAACTTCACTTTTATTTATACATTTAACTGTCAATATTAAATACTTCACCAAAACGTTGAAAGTAATTTGTTCTTTATTTCATATATAACGTGACAAAGTGCTCTGCATAGTAACCTTGGCTGCATGTCCAAAGCAGACATGCATGAATAATTCTCCAAATGCTCAACAGCTGTTAGAAACCCAAATGTCAAAATGTTTTAAGTCAGAATATTTCATTAAGTCTTCAGAATACTGTATTGATTCTTAAGAATCACGTTATTCTTAACCTTTTAACATCTCTGATCAGAGTAAATCTTACAAATGATTAGTAGCCTTATTTCTTTCTTAATTTGAAGAGCTCTGGTAACATAGTGGTTACAAGTTGGTCTACTAACCTCAAGGTCAGCAGTTCAAAACTGCCAGCCATTCCACAAGAGAAAGATGAGGCAGAAAGCTCCTATAGAGAGTTACAACTTCAGAAATCCTGTACAGGGCCGTTATGAGTTGGAACCAACTCCATGGCACACAACCACCAACATAATAATATTGAGTCTTTTCCTTTTCTTGCTTTCTAAACTTTTTATTGTGATTTGGGTGAAAAGTTACAGAGCTACTCATAGCAAACCTGCAAGGCTGTAAATCTCTAGAAGAGCAATCATCTTTCTCCCACAGAGCATCTGGTGGATTCAAACTGCTGACCTTTGTCGTTAGCAGTCAAGCACGTAACGCGCTTCTCCAAATACCAGTAAGGTCATCCATGTTAACAGGTTTCTGCTGAGCTTCCAGACTAAGCCAGACTAGGAAGACTGAGAGACAGACTACTTCTGAGTATTTAGTCACTGAAAACCATATGAATAACAGTGGAACACTGTCATATGACACCAGAATATTATCAGATTTATGAGCCCCACAAGTTAGAAGGCACTCACAATACAACTGGGGAATTGTTACTTCTTCAAAGCAGTGTTG